ATACGTCCTTGTGTGCTCCGAGGTTGCGTGTAGTCGGTTGCATTTTTGCTTCTTTTGATTTAACATGCGTCGCATACATCACTAGCGTTTATCAGCCACTAGTGTACCTGCTGTTTACGTCGATCATGAAATCCTTAAAAGGATGTTTTATTTTCATCGTAGTGGCACTTCACCAATTGTCTCGACGAATTTTTCTCTCTGTAGCATTCCCATTATCCACAGTGCATCTAGACAATAAGACAGATGATTGTTGCTAGACATAGTAATGGAAACCATGCAAGAAGTATCGATGAAAAGCAGCAGGCGAACGTTTTCTATAGTGACATCGCCTAAGACTAGGAAAATTTATCCGTGTTGCCAGTTTACTTCTACTCAGGCGTCGGCAAGCTGGACAACACCGAATGGATAATAGTAGGCTGGACAAATTTGCATGTAGCCACTGATTCGAGAGCGTATTTCCATGAAACGATTGTATGTTTCGTGGTGAGTTTCAACCATCACCAACCGTACAGAGCTGGTCCTTGTCATGGTGTCAAAGTCAAGGTGGTGGTCTGATGGTGCCGGAGTAGCTGCGTGATTTAATTCAGATTAATTCCCCTTCTCTTGGATTGTTGTCTTATTCATATGTTCGATTCAGAATGTTCAGTGTTTTGTTATTCGACGTTCAGGTCTCTTTCCTTTAAACTCCGTGAGTGCATCATTGACAAGTATTTACGTTGCGCATCATGTCCTGCTGTTTAATTTGATATCTTTGTTGACAGATTCATGATAATAGTCTCAGAATACCTTAGACATGCCCTGTATGGGGATCGACAGTTTTGACAGGTACAACGTTGTTTTGATTATCTCTGTCAGATTTCTTGGCACGCCTGCCCAGTCAACTTGACTGCGTGCTGACTAACGTTTCTTTAATATCTTAAATTAAATCTCCAGCGGCGATTGCTGACGCAAACTGTTGTATGATCAGTTTCTTGCCGAAAAACTACAGTAAGCTAGACATACACCAATGCACTAGGAAGAAATTGACGTTGATGAAAGTTGTGCTTTCACCACTGATCAGTCCAAGCTTGAGAGAATCTTGCTGAATGAGCTAGCAGAAGCAGTAACTATCATGAATTACATCTGTCGCTTAATCCTAATGGAAAAACATAGTTAAAGATATCTGACCTGGTATCTTGCTGACTTGAAGTACGTAGATGATATTGTTCTGTTGAATAGTACAGGTCTTCCTTACCTGACAGTTGCGGCAGGCAGAACAATTATGAAAGCCGGTCTTTTCCTTTACGTCCGGAAGTGAAAAGTTATCGGAAATCCATTCCTAACATTTGATTTGTCTACGGAAAGGAAGGTGAAATGGAATTGGAAACTGACCAGTTTAAGTATCTCGACCGTATCATCTGCGATGACGGCGTCATCCAGTAAGAGTTAAATGGGAAGAACATCCTCGCCTCCAGTCTTTTACGTGACCCTTCTGGTATTTTCTCTGTGAACGCGGCAATTCTGTCCAGAACAATCTGCCTTTGCCATTCCTCTGGCGGGTCAGTGCTGTAGTGCATGGAAACAATTTCTCTAACGAAGGACGAAGAATAACCGTTGAACGGCTTGTAATAACGTTGGCTTCGACGTATTCTGAGGGTTAAATTGGAGGACCGTATAAAGAATCACTCATTCTTTTCCATGTCAGATGGCTTGCGTTGATGTGGAGGCGATAAAAAGGCCATTGTTTCTGCTGGATAAAGATCGAGCATAAGCTTTGTACTCCAGTCTGTGAGCATCTCATGTTAATCGAAACGTATCAGGCGTC